TTAAAAAAAAATATATATATATATATTTTTTTTTAATAAGGTTTCTTATTCACTTTAATAGTATTTGTAGAAATGTCATATGTGCCCTATTAATCAGTAAGTACTAAAAATGTGAAAGTGAGGATCTTAGGTTGTTTAGATGTGCTGCTTTAGAAAAGAGATTGCAACATAAATTTTGAATTACTGATGAAGGGAGAAGGTTCTTGGGAGGCCTTAATGGTCAATCAGCAGTCCTTATCTGCACCATGTTAACATTTGTTTAATTCTTGTCGGAATAACTTTATTGGTGCTTCTCACAAATATTTCATTGTAGACCTGTCAGAAATAGGATATCTTGTTTTTGATTAGGGAAAATGATTTAAAATATTGATATAGTTAACTTTTTTTTAATGTTTGTAACACTTTCTAAATAGTATAATTGCTTCCTTCATGCTTTCAATTTGATATATTTATTTTATTATTGTTTCTAACACTGAAAGACCTGTCTAGGAAATATTTATTTACTTCTCAGCCTATACGTTAGCCAGAGAGTGCACAACTGCAGAAACAGTGATCACTGCTCAGCAGAGGGAGCTCATACATTTTATTTTGCTGTAGTTGTACAAAAAATTAGCAACTGCATTGAAAAAAACAACAAATAATCAATAATATTTTTAAATGTTTAATTAAAAAAAAACAACACCCCCTCCCCCGCCAAGACAAATAGCCTCTGCAAAAGCTAGGACAGACTAGACTATAATGACCAAAAGGGTCTGATCTTAAAGACAGTTAGACACATGAGAGTCCTGTGCCACCTTTAAGACTAACAGATGTATTGGAGCATAAGCTTTCGTGGGTGAATACCTACTTCGTCAGACGCTTTTGCTTAATTTTTGCAATTAACATTTTTAATCTCTTAATTTACCTGCTATGATATTATTTCTTTAAGATTTTAAAAGGCAATTGAATTTGATTTTGTTTAAACATATTACTGTTTCATAATGTTTAATCCTCTTTAAATAAAGGGCCCAGCCCTGCAACCCTAACTCATACATACATGAGTAGTCCCATAGAAGTTAAGGAGCCAAATTATTTTGTTCTATTGCCTTGGTGTAACTCCACAAATTTGGGGGGAGTTATTCTGGATTTAACACTGATATAAATAAGAGAATTTAGCTCAATGGGATTATTTGATTTTGTAAAGACTACTCCGATGATTTAGGTTTGCAGGATTGGACTGAAACTTTTTTAAATCATTCAACACATTTTTATAAAAATAGGTTAAGCAGTGGAAAGTACAATTAATGGTCTTGTTCACTGCAATTTACTTTCAGTCCTTTGTTATATTAACTAATCTGAATATGGCATTCCCATGACTCCTATGGTCAGGAATAATGGGTGAATAAAGAAAAACTGAATTCATATGTAGTAACAGATATAATTTTAATTGTTTTTAAATTTTATAGTAATATTATATTAAAATGTTTATAAATTACATCTAGAATACCATTTTTTCCTGAGAAGGATTAAGATAAAAACTACATGCAATATTGCCAAAGCATATCCCAATTAGAATTAGCACATGCTAAATTCTCTGTTTATAAATTTAGCAAAAAAACTTTCACGTTAAAGAGCCATAGTTAGCTGACCATTATGAGTAATAACTACAAATTGGATTAACTCAGTAGGTTAGATTTTCTAACATAAGAATGGCCATACTGAGTCAGACCAATAGTCCGTCTAGCTCCGTATCCTGTATTCCAACAGTGGCCTGTGCCAGATGCTTCAGAAGGAATGAAAAGAACAGGGCAATTATTGAGTGATACATCGCCTGTTGTCCAGCCATAGCTTCTAGCAACGAGATGTTTCGGGACACCCAGAGCATGGGTTGCATCCCTATCTTGGCTAATAGTCATTGATGGACCTATCTGTCACGCTGCCTGGTGTGGGATACAGCTAAGAATGCCAGTTGCAGATCAGACGGCCAGAAACCAGGGCATGTACCCCAAACTGGTGGTATATTCTATCATAAAACTTAACGAAATCAGTAACAAATGTGTGCTTCCAAATTACTATACTAGTTGTTATGACGCCACAGATGGTCCCCTTCAGCCCTCTCACCCCTCCCCAGACAAACCAAACTTTATGATGAAAACCAAAATTCATCTCAGATTAGGTTCTTCCATTTCCAAAGAACCAGCCACTCACTCCAGGTCAAAATATACTTCAGGATCCAACTCAAAAACCATGCTGGCAGCCATCCTTTAGTAAATTAAAACTAAAGGTTTATTAATATGAAAAAAGAAGAGTTATTAAAAGGTTAAAGTGAATCATATACATTACAGTTGATTTCAGAGTCTAGATCAGGGTAAGAGCAGTGACATTAAATCTGTTAGCTTGTAATAAGTCTCTCTGGTACACCCAAAAGATGGGGGTCCTCAGTCCATTTTTCAAAGCTCCAGTTGTTAGAAATCATAGTCCAGAGATGTGGGGTAGTAGTGAGGAAAGGAGGTTATGTCATTGTTTCCAGTTTATACCCTCAGTCCATGTGCATGGAAAAGTCCTGGCTCAAACATGGAGCTATGTATCATATATTCTACCTGCCCTGCTGAGTCATGGGGCATCCATTGTCCATATGCTCTCTGAGGCATCCGTGGGAAAGGCCCACTGGAAGAGTTGATTCTTCTTAATGGACCATCAACACATGGCTGGCTAGTCTTCATGTAAATCTGTCTTGTGGGTATTACCCAGGAACACATGTTTAGTAATAAGCAGAGAGTAAAATTTCATACCTTCATACACAATGGTGAAATATACATTTCAACAAGATAACACTGTTCAACAGATCACAACTTCATGGGGGATACCTTACATAGCATATTTTGGACAAGATTTAGAGCAATTATGTAACAGTGGTGACAATACTAGTGTAGATGATCAACTTCCTTTTTATACAGTGTCACACTATCCTCCTTATTTCTTTTTAGAACCAAGTTATACTTTTGGACTTCACAACATTCCCAGGCAACAAATTCCACAGTTTGACTTTCTAGAGTGGTAACAGCTAATTTAGAACCCACCATGTTGTATGTATAAATGGGATAATTTTTATCAGCATTGAATTTCATCTGCCATTTTATTGCCTCATGACCCAGTTTTGTGAGCTCCCTTTGTAGCTTTTTGCAATAATGAGAAGTTTAGTGTTATCTGCAAACTTTGCCACCTCACTGTTTGTCCCCTTTTCCAGATCATTTATGAATATGTTGAACAGCACAGGTCCCAGTACAGCTCCTCAGGGGGACCTTGCTATTTACCTCTTTATACTTAAGTTTTTAAAGGTCCTTGTGCTAGGCACTGTTAGAAAACACAACAATAAAGGATGTCTTAAGTTTCAGGTCTGAAAAGGCTGTAGTACTGGCTGGAATCATACGTTCATATTCCAACAGGGCCCCATGAGGTCTTCAGCATTTTGAGGTACCTAAATTGAGTATTAAGTAGTTAATATATGATGAAGTTTTGAAAAAGACTCTGACAACAAGGCCCTGTCTGTTCCTTTCCCTACACTATTTGCAGTCTGCTATGTGCCAGTTGTAGGACACTCTCCATCCCAAAAGTAGCTGCATCTCAGAGGTGCTTGTAAAACGGAACCTGTACAGGTAAAACGACACCTCCTGTCACTCTCTTAAGCAAACTGCTGTGTGTCTCTGCCCCAACGTGTTCCCAGCAGCCATACCAAATACAATTCTGTCCCAATGCCACCACTTCTACTACAAAACCTCCTCTTTTAAACAACCCGTTGTTGTACACTGGGTTCATTAGACATGTTATTAGACTGTAGGATTGTCTCCGCCCCATAAAAGAAGAATTGGAAGGGTTAAAACTCACCAGAGTAAGTAAAATTAAAGTGACGTATTTTTAAAGCAGCTACTGACTTCTAACTATGGCATCCTCATGGTACCAGACCCTTAGCCCTGGGGATCGGGCCACGCCTCACTAGGGCGTCGCTGTCTCCCTCGGTTCGGCTGCAGGACTCGCACACTTCCACCCCAGGCCGCCCCTGTTTTCATGCGGCCGGGCTGGGGCCGTGCAGAGGCTAGTAGCCGGGGTGCTACGCTGCAGGGGTCCAGGTGGGGATGATGCCAAGGCCCGCGTCCGCGGGCCGGCGGTGGCTGCAGCCTGGCGCGGTGCTGAGCACTCTGGCGGGGAGGAGGCGGAGCCCCGGCAGCCCCCCCCCCCCCGCCAGGCTCTGCCGCGGAGCAGCGAGGCCGCGCCTGCCATAGCGGGCGCTCGATGGCTCCAGACCCGATTGCACGGCCCTGAGCCGCGCCTCCCTCCCGCCTCCCTGCAGCCCGGGGCGGCTGCGGCAGCCCGGCCCGTGGGTTAGCGTCGCCTCCGGTGCTGGAGGAAGCCGGCCGGAGCAGCGGCTTTTCCCGGCAGCACGGCGGCACCTCGCCCTGCGGATCCGGAACGGGAGACTCGCTGGCTAGCTCCGTGCGGGCCAGGTAACCCGAGCCGGGGGAGCTCTGCCAGCCCCTCCCCCCCAGGCTGGGGTATGGGGGGGCTGAAGGGGGCAGGAGCTCTGCCAGCCCCCACCCCCCACAGGCTGGGGTATGGGGGGGCTGAAGGGGGCAGGAGCTCTGCCAGCCCACAGCCTGGGGTATAGGGGGGCAGGAGCATTGTCAGCCCTTCCCACCCAAGGCTGAGGTATGGGGGGATTGAAGGGGGCAGGAATTGTGCTTGCCCCTGCCCATTTGGTATGGGTGGCTGAAGGGGGCAGGAACTCCCCTCCCCCGCGGGCTGGGGATGGAGTTGAAGAGGGCAGGACCTGTTGTGAGATGCAGCTGGTGGCTCTTGGTCAGGAGGGATGTGGTAATGCTAAAAAAGTGTGTTGAACTCCTGCCAGGTTTCCTTGGCCCAGAAAGGTAGAAGGATGTCTGGACTTCAAAGAGTGATCAGATCCTGTCAGGAACCTCTATAAAGGTGAGGGCAATGAAGAGGGTCCAGGAGCTTTTTCTAGACTTTTTACCTACTCTTTCTTTCCAAGCTCAGGGGGAGATAAATGGAGGAGGTGAGGTCATGCTCGACCTCCACACCCATGTCAGAGAAAGGGACAAGAATGGCAGAACTGGCTTATGTATTTCTTGGGGAAAGTGTCTGTCTTGCTGGGATTGGGAATTTATGTGCCCAGAGCCTTGCTGCTCCACACAGAAGAACCTAGGCAGTCTGATGGTCTGTCACGTCAATAACCATATTTATTGATCAACAGCAAAAAGCAGAGACAAATAAACCTAACTCCTCTTCCCCTTGTAGTTGCTGCTGATAAGACTGCTTAGACTGACTTGACAGGGTCATCTCTGTATGTGTGTAATTCTAACCACAGAGCAGAAAGAAAATGAAATAAAGCTCATTCTTCACTGGATAGTTTCCTAGGGTTTCCGAGCTTTTTCTGGATTAGTTTCACTAAAGGGAGGAAAATAGAAATGTCATTTCACGAGAGAGACCGTGCCACTTTATTTTCTATTCTTACTTTCACGTGTACTGAATCCCAAAATGCTTTGTGCGGGTAAGTAATACAGAGGGCTAGAGAAAGAAAGAGGTATTGGCAAAAAAGAATAGGTCTTTAACTGAAATTGAAATGGAATGTAGAGTAGATGAGGTTGATGCCCTGTTTTGTTATAGGTAGGCTGTTAAAGATAACAGACGCTGCAGAAGACAAACAACCCCATGCTGTGAGTATGCTAGGGTTTGGGAGTGTTTTGTCTTGTGAAAAATATGCCACTGGGGGTAGCAGCATTGGAAATGCTAGTATAAATAAGTCTCAGAGGGGTAGCCGTGTTAGTCTGAATCTGTAAAAAGCAACAGAGGGTCCTGTGGCACCTTTAAGACTAACAGAAATAGGGTTCTTACCCACGAAAGCTTATGCTCCCAATACTTCTGTAGGTCTTAAAGGTGCCACAGGACCCTCTGTTGCTTAGTATAGACAAGGCTCCTGCAGCTGTTGGCATTTTGAAAACCTCGTCCAGTCTTGCCCAGGGCAGATCTAAGTGATGCCAGAGTTTTGTCTGTACAAGGGCTCCTAATATTTCTTCAGTTTGTGGAGCTCCACCTGTGTGGTGATAGTATGAATTTTGGAGAAGAGGGGAAAATCCTAAAACCCTAGTGTAGTCAAGGCTACAGTTATGAGATTGGTTTGGGTGGTGAGGGGACAGGTAATAGAGTTGTGATGTGCAGGAAGGGGTTAGAAAGTGTCAAATTGTAGATTTAAGGGTACTTGCTTTCTTTTTGATGTTTCTATCATATAAAGCTGTTTTGTTTTTAAATGTTTCTTTAAATTTGGTTGGATTTTATTTTTAATGAGGGTTAAAATGCTTTTGGTTATTTAGATCTTTTAAGTTGTAAATGCTGAACCTGTGGCCAAAATTGCCTTGCCGTTTTCATAAAGATAGATATAAACAATCAGGAGATATTTATCTTTCTTTTGTTATATGTCATGTTTAAGTATTTTATAATGAGTTGTATTTAATTACTTCAGAAATAAGTTGTGTAGAAATGCAGAAGCCAGATTGTTCCAGTTTTTAATTTATTAATTGATAGTTAAATCTCAAAGAAAAGAAAGAGAACTGTGTTAATTCATTTCTACAGTGTTAAGTCTAGAGATATTTTTTATACTTGTGTTTGAATCCTAAATTAAATATTTGCTTTAGAGCCAATAAAATATTTGGATAATTGGCTAGTTTATGTGGCCATTGTGCCAACATTTGAAATCTGTGTACAGCAACATCTGCTTTGAGCTGTTTTAGAATCTTCTTTATGAAGCAGTTATTTTCAGTTTCTAGAGAATCAAGTGACACGTAGTACTGACTAGGGTCCTGATTTTGCATTGTGATGTGATAGAATAGGCCCCTGCAGAGTCCCATTGACCGCATCTGTGAGGAGTCCCATTGCTGGACAGTATATCATGTTTCTCAACCTTTTTGATACCAGAGACCAGCTTGCTGCCTTCCTAAACTGTGTCAGGGAAATCTCTGGGACCGTGGCTGGTCCACAGACCAGTTGTTGAGAAACAATCATATCCCAGTACAGTTGGAGCCTAGAATATTGCACCTTTAACTTAGAGGTGTGATGTCCTGAATGATTTTGGTAGAAGTAAATATAGTATTTGAGAATCTTAGGTCCTGATCCTGCAAACAGTTCCATGTGTGTTTAACTTCATGCATGTGACCATAGTACTACTCATGCATGAAATCAAGTATGTGTGTAAGTATTTGCAAAAGCAGAGCCTTTTTGAAGTCTTATGCGGTATCTACTCAGCAACACAAAGCATAAAAAAATTAATTTTTTCAGTATATGATGCCTCTGATATGTTTAAAAATGTTCAGAATCCATATAGGTGACTTTTTCTTTAAAATTAATTTCATACTGTTGTTTTGATTTTTCTCCTGATGCTGAAATATTCCAAATATTAACATTTAATAAACATTTAATCTAGTTTCTTATATTTGTTTGTTTGCCTGGAAATTCACCCATTTAGCCATAGAATGAGAGAGCAATAATGAATCACAAAGCTCTGAAAACGGACCATATTTGGACAGGCCAATGCATATCTAGCCATAGCAGCAGCAGTCTGTAATTACGTTTTGTGGTTCTGTGCAGTGAGAATTTTAAGGTTTTGTCTACAGAGAAAAGGCACAGCATTACTGGTTAGAAATGCTGATGACATTGACTCCTCCCACATGATATTAAGGAAAGAGAAGTCATTGGGATAAAAACTAAATATTTAGAGTTTTCCTGGCAGTCATTCTTTAGTTAGTTTTGCTTTACTTTATTGCTGGTGTTTAATCAAACCTTTTTTTTTTTGAATGCTTTTTGTGTACATAGGTAATTGTTGTCATACCATTTTGAGCAATCTTAGCAATGTTTTGACTTTGTTTAGACTCATCAAAAAATTGTATAGCATGGGGATATGTCTGCTTAAATGCAGTGTTGTCCATGTTTAAATTTCAAATTGTTTTAGCAGCTAGGATGTTGTATTTGTCATTTAAATCAGCAATATCTACTTCTTACTACTACTTATTGATGTGTTAGAATTCTATCCTTTGTAAAATATTTAAACTGGTTGAATCCTATTTATATTATATTATGTCACAATCTTGGTTACCCAAGGATGCAGTCCTGCATTCCTTGTGCAATCTAATCCCCCTTTGAAGTCTGCAGGAGTTCGGTATGTGCAGAGAGGGCATGATTGGACTCTGAATCTGTTTTGGTCTGGAAGATAATGTTTGAAACTAAAATTAGGATAGATGCTTTAGTGCATTTAGTTAAAAATTTTGGGACAGCATCTGCTGTCAGTTAACAGTCATGCAACCTCAATGAAATTGTCCAGTTTGTTAGCACATATTTTGACCCATAAGATGAGTATAAGCACACTCCATCCAATATTTATTTTAATGAAAAAGCTCGAGAAGTCACATATAAGCCATGTTTCTGTTTTGAGGACATAGAAACCGTGTTTCTGTTTTGGAGACTTTATAGATAGGTATGTTTAAGTGCTTAAATTAGGTTTGAACATTGATTGTCTTGTCATTCAGTTGGCTAAGAAGTAACGATCATCCTATTAAACTTTTACAACAACCCTGCAGGAATAAAATTGATGAGAATTGTTAATGACCACAGACTAAACACCTGAGGTCGGAAGACCCAGTATATTGGTTACATTTCTTAGATTAATGTTAGAGAACTTAAAGCTTTAAGAAGAAAAATGTTACTGCAAACTAGTTAAAATATTGCTACTTGCACTGATGAACAGATACTTGCTATTAAATAATTTGAGTGGCGTTTTGATTTTGGAGGGTGTTGAGGGTTGGTTGTGTTTTGGTAGCCTGGCTAGGTTGATTTTGATTGTCTAGCTTACAGAGTATATGATTAGTTTCAGGTTAGCATCCATTTTTCGTTAGGGCTGGAATGTAGGGTAGGTGTGTGGGGGAGATTCCATCGGTTTATTGATTGAATATTTATTTTTATACCAAATTTATTGCATAAATGTTTCAGAACTTAATGTTCAATATTATTTGTCTGAAAATAATATGTAGGGTAATATTTATTATGAGTAAGTAACTGCAGCTCTTACACTTTGCTTTGAATTTTCACTACTAAGGCGAGGCAGTTGATAATGATTTACTAGATCTTTATTTGAATCTAGTGTCTAGGCACCC